CTTCTCCCACTGCCTATTCCCCCCCCCCCCCACCTAGCACTGGAAGACTCAGGTGGGTTAAGGTGGTGTTTAATATTCTCCCAAGCCCTTGAGTGCTCGTAACACAGGTGCATGACCGCTCCACTTCAGGCGGGGGTGGTAGGTGTCTGCTGGTCTGGGGTCTGCTGCAGGCTGTTGCGGGGGGGGGGCTGGGGCAGGGCGTGGGGGGGGGCTGGGGCAGGGCGTGGAAGGGGGCTGGGGCAGGGCGTGGAAGGGGGCTGGGGCAGGGCGTGGGGGGGGGTAGGCTAAGGCAGAGTGTGGGTGTGTTGGGGTGGGGGTAGGGGGGAGGGGCAGGTGCAGAATGTGTGGGGGGTGGGGGGGATGGTGTATTTTGTTTACATCCGGGATTTAAGAAAATATGTATTTACCTAAAGGTTCTTCCCTACATGTGTCAGCTGGGGTTGAGTTCCGGGTTCTAGCACCTCCAGCTCGTTCCACTTCTTTACGACCCGTAAACGGACGGAGTTAATTGTTCAGGGTCTAACATTTCTGCCTAGTTCTCTTGTTGTGTTCCCAGACAACGAGTTATCGGGGAATTTTCTCGTTGTTCTTGTGTTTTGAGGCGGGATCCATGCCGAGGCTACATACTCAAAGTATAGGTCTTGCAGGAAAGTCCGGAAAGGTTCATTTGACAAGATTCTAAATGCTATATTTGTGGCAATTTGACCTTTGTGGATGAAGTTACTCTGTTAGTACCTGTGCTTTAGACTTAGCAGTTACGTCTACTCTCAAATATTTTCCTTATCTGATGCTTTAATCTGTATTATCTTCATTCTATATTGCTTTACGAGTTCTGTTCCCAGCCTCATAAATTTGCACGAGGATGGGTTAAAATCTAGTAGCCATCTTTCATATCATCTGAGGAGTATGTCAAGATGCCACAGTCCCCCTCTGCCCTGACTCTCCTCCTTAGTTAGGGACGGTATCATCAGCAAACAATGATATATGAAGGAGCCCTTTTTTCCTCAGATTGTTAACTGGTATTAAACACCTACATGGCGATATTACCACCTCTCCTCTCGAATAATACACCGTATTTTAATGTCAAAATGCCCCAGCGGACAAAAGATGGTGTACTGTGTAAAACACAGAGGCATATATTCACGTTTTCTATGATTGGGTCGCTCGGTTAGGTCGTGGTGCTTAGTGACGTTATTTTTAAGAGGACAGGTTGCATCTACAGTGTTCTGTCCGTCGTGACAACTGGAGAGGAAGGCCTGGCCATAACGACCTCTGTGGGACTACACTCGTTACGTCTATCCCCTCTTGTACCTCCCTCTCCCCCTCTTGTACCTCCCTCTCCCCCTCTTGTACCCCTCTCTCCCCCTCTTGAGAGGTACTCGCCCGTCTCTTTAACACACTTCCAGATGCACCACAGCCCTGCTTCTCTAGACTGAGTAGGAGTCTCTTGTACCTTGATGGGGTTCTGGGAGTTCTTCTGCTCTCCAAGCCCGGCCCAGGGTCCCAGGCTCGACTTGTGAGCTTGGTCCAACAGGCTGTTGCTTGGAGCTGGCCGCAGGCCCCACATATCTACCATTGTGTGGTACAGTGTCAAATGCTTTCCGCCGGCTGGAAGAATATGGAATCTGAGCATTCTTCTCTCGTTTGATTCCTGTCATTTTATTGCACAACTCTAATAAGTTAACCCAAAAAGATTTCCCTTTCGTAACTTAATGCCGACGTGACGGGACACCTTTGACTAGTCTAAGTGTCCCAGGAGCTTGCTTCATAGCAGTCGCTCTTGTACCTTGCTGGGCATGGGTGTTAGTGCCTTCTTGCCTTTCCCATGCATATTACCACTGCATAAACCATTTTGCAACAGTCAGCAAGATCTCCAGTTTCTATTGACAAGTTGAAAGGGGCCTGAGCAGTGCTTCCACTGCCTCATTAAGTAACCAAGGTGATACCTTGTTAGTTCTGATCAATTTATCCAGGTTATCTAGTTTTTTGGTTTACTTCTCGCGTCCCTTCTGTTTTAGAGAATATGTTATGTGTGTACACACAGAAATCACATCCTGGGCGTAAGTTCGAACCCTCATCACAGCCCTTGTGGATTTGTTCATGTTATGTGTGTACTAACCTAGTTGTGCTTGCGGGGGTTGAGATGCGGCTCTTTGGTCCCGCCTCTCAACTGACAATCAACTTGTGAACAGGTTACTGAGCTCTTATCATATCTATATTGAAACTGTGTATGGAGTCAGGCTCCACCACATCACTGCCTAATGTATTCCATGTATTAACTATTCCTGACACTGACAAAGCTTTTTTTCTAGTGTCTCTATGGCTCATTTGGGTGCTCGTGTATACTCACCTAGTTGTGCTTGCGGGGGTTGAGCTTTGGCTCTTTGGTCCCGCCTCTCAACCGTCAATCAACTAGTGAACAGATTCCCGAGCCTACTGGGCTCTCGTCTTTCTAATGTATGTGTGTGTGTGTGTGTGTGTGTGTGTGTGTGTGTGTGTGTGTGTGTGTGTGTGTGTGTGTGTGTGTGTGTGTGTGTGTGTGTGGCTGGAGGGGTGGGTGTGGTTCGAATGCTGCTGACGGTCACTGACCTCCCACAAACACTGCCGCCTTTACCACCAATTTCACTACCCCTTATCACCTACCACCACCACCACCACCCTCGACCACACCCATAACTATCACCATACCCATCACTACCAACACGCCCCCCCCTCCCTACCCACCCACCCATCACGTAAGCTGAGGTGAACCTCGAACACACAACCTAGCCCCCCCCCCCGAACACCCCCCCCCGAACACCCCCCCCCCCCCCCCCGAACACCCCCGCGCGCACCCGAACGCCCCCGACCCCAACACAACCCCCAAACAAACCTCTCCTGACCCAACACACACCCTGAACTAGGTACTTGTGCCCGCCATTAACCACTAAAATCACCCAACAGGTAATTTCACCGAGGAATTTAACCTTTTCTGGCGCCTGAGACGGGTCGTGCTTTCAGTCTGTTGTAGGGGGGTGGTGTGGCTGTTTTGTAGGCGGTGCTGTGGCTGTTTTGTAGTGGGTGGTGTGGCTGTTTTGTAGTGGGGTGGTGTGGCTGTTTTGTAGGGGGTGGTGTGGCTGTTTTGTAGGGGGGTGGTGTGGGTGTTTTGTAGGGGGGGGGTGTGGCTGTTTTGTAGGGGGGTGGTGTGGCTGTTTTGTAGTGGGTGGTGTGGCTGTTTTGTAGGGGGATGGTGAGGCTGTTTTGTAGGGGGTGGTGTGGCTGTTTTGTAGGCGGTGCTGTTTCTGTTTTGTAGAGGGTGGTGTGGCTGTTTTGTAGGGGGGTGATGTGGCTGTTTTGTAGGGGGGTGGTGTGGCTGTTTTGTAGGGGGGGTGGTGTGGCTGTTTTGTAGTGGGGTGGTGTGGCTGTTTTGTAGGGGGGTGGTGTGGCTGTTTTGTTGTAGGGGGTGGTGTGGCTGTTTTGTTTGTAGGCGGTGCTGTGGCTGTTTTGTAGGGGGTGGTGTGGCTGTTTTGTAGGGGGGTGGGTGTGGCTGTTTTGTAGGCGGTGCTGTGGCTGTTTTGTAGGGGGTGGTGTGGCTGTTTTGTAGGGGGTGGTGTGGCTGTTTTGTAGGGGGGTGGTGTGGCTGTTTTGTAGGCGGTGGTGTGGCTGTTTTGTAGGCGGTGTTGTGGCTGTTTGTTTTGTAGGGGGTGGTGTGGCTGTTTTGTAGGGGGGTGGTGTGGCTGTTTTGTAGGGGGTGGTGTGGCTGTTTTGTAGGCGGTGCTGTGGCTGTTTTGTAGGGGGGTGGTGTGGCTGTTTTGTAGGGGGTGGTGTGGCTGTTTTGTAGGGGGTGGTGTGGCTGTTTTGTAGGGGGTGGTGTGGCTGTTTTGTAGTGGGTGGTGTGGCTGTTTTGTAGGGGGTGGTGTGGCTGTTTTGTACGTCAATTCACAGACATTCTACTTGACCCAGAGGACCACTAACTCCAGTTATGATAACCTCTGTTTCCTCAAACCAATCATGTCATATTCCAGCTTAAGATAAACAACACGCTTCTCTACCTTCTGATTAGTCTTTCGTGAAATAAGTTTGTAAAAAAGTCCAGGTAGATTGTGGTGCAATACGGGCCAGTCTTACCTGCTTGAACTGTGATGGAAACAATGGTTCATTAAACACACTCGTTACTTGCACTGGTAAATACTTCGTCTGGTGTTGGGGGGGAGTTGTTAGGCTTTAATTAATTTGCGTGTTTACTAACTTCCTCTTTGGTGACAACAAGGCCGGACAACTCGGCCGGACTACTCGGCCGGACAACTCGGCCGGACAACAAGGCCGGACAACTCGGCCGGACAACTCGGCCGGACAGCAAGGCCGGACAACTTGCCCTCATCACACACATAGATCTGTCCAGCTGTAGGTAACATGTCACAACTCTCCTCGATAGAGAGAGACAGTGGCAAGCCGCACACACCACAAGATGAGGAGACGACGACCACATTCCGGTCCGCCCTGGACCATTATCACAATCGACTTGATGATCGTCCAGGACGGACCGAAACGTCGTCGTCGTCGTCGTCGTCTCCTCATCTTGTGGTGTGTGTGGGGTTTGGTCTCATCATATCTTCAGCCACGTTATTGCGACTCGTCGTCTGCACACAGGGGAAGTTTATAACATCTCTCAGTTCTTTGTGTCTCCCAGTTACTTGGTCTCTCTCTCTCTCTCTCTCTCTCTCTCTCTCTCTCTCTCTCTCTCTCTCTCTCTCTCTGACCCAGTCTTCTCCCTTAACCTGTGTTTAATATTTGTGAAAGGACCCCCTTCCGGATTTGTCTTTGTCTGCCCTCCACATTTTATCTTTCCTGATATTATTTACCTGTTTTACTAGTTTGATTAATGGTCGTGATATATTCTAAACAAGTATATAATACATATATAACCATGGTTAACCATTTGGGTTGTTTTGAATGGTTCTAATTAATTTATATTGTATTCTACCTTCCGGGTTTGTTATTGGTCTTTGAGGGTGTGTTAGGTGACCCAGCATCTACAGACACCATAGGTGACCCAGCATCCACAGACACCAAAGGTGACCCAGCATCTACAGACACCAAAGGTGACCCAGCATCTACAGACACCAAAGGTGACCCAGCATCTACAGACACCAAAGGTGACCCAGCATCTACAGACACCAAAGGTGACCCAGCATCCACACAGACACCAAAGACGACCCAGCATCCACACAGACACCAAAGATGACCCAGCATCCACACAGACACAAAAAGTGACCCAGCATCCACACAGACACCAAAGGTGACCAGCATCCACACAGACACCAAAGATGACCCAGCATCTACAGACACCAAAGGTGACCCAGCATCTACAGACACCAAAGGTGACCCAGCATCTACAGACACCAAAGGTGACCCAGCATCTACAGACACCAAAGGTGACCCAGCATCTACAGACACCAAAGGTGACCCAGCATCCACACAGACACCAAAGACGACCCAGCATCCACACAGACACCAAAGATGACCCAGCATCCACACAGACACAAAAAGTGACCCAGCATCCACACAGACACCAAAGGTGACCAGCATCCACACAGACACCAAAGATGACCCAGCATCTACAGACACCAAAGGTGACCCAGCATCTACAGACACCAAAGGTGACCCAGCATCTACAGACACCAAAGGTGACCCAGCATCTACAGACACCAAAGGTGACCCAGCATCTACAGACACCAAAGGTGACCCAGCATCTACAGACACCAAAGGTGACCCAGCATCCACACAGACACCAAAGGTGACCCAGCATCTACAGACACCAAAGGTGACCCAGCATCTACAGACACCAAAGGTGACCCAGCATCTACAGACACCAAAGGTGACCCAGCATCTACAGACACCAAAGGTGACCAGCATCCACACAGACACCAAAGATGACCCAGCATCCACACAGACACCAAAGATGACCCAGCATCCACACAGACACAAAAAGTGACCCAGCATCCACACAGACACAAAAAGTGACCCAGCATCCACACAGACACAAAAAGTGACCCAGCATCCACACAGACACAAAAAGTGACCCAGCATCCACACAGACACCAAAGGTGATCCAGCATCCACACAGACACCAAAGGTGACCCAGCATCCACACAGACACCAAAGATGACCCAGCATCCACACAGACACCAAAGATGACCCAGCATCCACACAGACACCAAAGATGACCCAGCATCCACACAGACACCAAAGGTGATCCAGCATCCACAAAGAACACATCAGACCGCGTGGCCGGGACAGGTAATTGTAAACAAACGAAAAATCAGAAAGTTAAGCAAGAGAGAGAATGAGAAAGAAAGTGAGAAAGTGACGGAGAACTATCGCAGCGACGAGCATCTAATGTCATCAAGGTGGGGAAGGGAAGAGTTATTGTCGTTGTTGAAGGTTGTCGTCGTTACAGCAGGGGAGGAGATGGGGGGGGGGAGGGGATGGGGGGGATGGAATGGGAGGGGATGGGGGGGGGGATGGAATGGGAGGAGATGGGGGGGGGATGGAATGGGTGGAGGGAGGGGGGTGGAGATAGATGGCAGGGGCCAGGGTGGAGGCCTGGGAGTCCTGGGAAGCAGACAGTCATAAGAAATAAACCAGACACACACAACAAAGCAGACATACATAACAAAACAACACACCAAGCAGACATACACGACAAACACACACATCAAGCCGACAAACAGTAAAACAGTGACACTGAGAGCAGGTGAAGGAGTTTGTTTGTAGGGATATTCGTGCGCGGGCCCTAAGCCTCTGGCTGGCCCACAGCGCGGGCCCTAAGCCTCTGGCTGGCCCACTGCGCGGGCCCTAAGCCTCTGGCTGGCCCACTGCGCGGGCCCTAAGCCTCTGGCTGGCCCACAGCGCGGGCCCTAAGCCTCTGGCTGGCCCACTGTGTGGGCCCTAAGCCTCTGGCTGGCCCACTGCGCGGGCCCTAAGCCTCTGGCTGACCCACTGCGCGGGCCCTAAGCCTCTGGCTGGCCCACTGCGAGGGCGCCTAAGCCTCTGGCTGGCCCACTCCGCGGGCCCTAAGCCTCTGGCTGACCCACTAAGTGTTGCTTGTTTCTGTTTTACTTGGGCGGAGTATGAGTATTTATGACTCGTATGGTCGCTTCAGTAAGATTTTGTCCCATGTGTTTAACAACTTCTTCTGCTCTGTTGAATCTAAGTTGAAATCTTATTGGATTTGTAACTGTGCACTGTGTTAAATAATGGTCAAGTGGTCTGTTGTGGCTGGAACTGTCACTGTCTTAGATAATGTTCCAGTGGTCTGTTGTGGGTGTAACTGTGCACTGTGTTAGATAATGTTCCAGTGGTCTGTCGGGCATTTCTCCACAGTGCTGACATTTCCTCTCATCTTCCGGAACCTGTAAGCCTATTTCCCATGCACATGGGTATCCAAACCTGATGCGATGTAAGTGTACTTCTGTTGTTCTACTGCTCCCTTTCATCAAACTAAGTGGTTCGTAGTTAGTTGAATTCTTGTACGAACCCGCAGATCCTGATGTTGCAACTGCTGTGTTATGGTCACTGTACATCGTCTGCATTGCTCTATTTCTAATTACTTTCTTAATCTGTGATAGACTCTGTGGTATATAAATGTCTACATTTCTTCGCTTAGTTGCAAGTTTTGCAGCTTCGTCTGCAATGTCATTTCCTATTATTCCCACATGACTTGGCACCCAGTTGTGAAGGAGATGTTGAGAGAGATGGTCAGATGGTGAGGGGGGATGGTGAGGGAGGGTAGACTCAGTAAATTATGGTAGCGTGTGTGGATGGGGGGGGGGGGGGGGGAAGAGAAGTGTTAGGCCTACATCATGACCAACCTTGTTATCCTACCTCGGTGCTTCTCCTCCTTCCTCCCTTCTACCTCCCTCCTCTCTCCTACCTCCCCCCCCCCTTTCTTCCTACCTTCTCTACCTCACGTTCCTCCCTCTACCTCCACTCTCTCCTCCTCCCCGCCCGTGTGAGATCTGATCACTTGGGAAGTAGTACAGGTTGTTAGGAGCAGTGGTAATTAAGCTACTAGTCTGTGATGATTAGGGAGTGGCGGTAACCTTAATTGAAATGTTGCTGGGCCAAGCAGAGGTGGTTGGGTAGGTTACGGTGGTTGGTTGGTTTTAAGCTGGTTATAACAGCGTTGTTCAACGACCAGCTAATTCAGATTAGTAACTAATCTATTGCTTAACTAACCGACAGAGAGTTGTAGATTCCCACAGCTGCAGTTAAGAAGTAATGGAACCAGAAGATGTTGGTTCTTAAACATTTCTGGCTCTTATCTGAATATTTATGACTTATCTGAATACTGTCATAAGTTCAGATGTTCATTAAAGTATTAGAAACTACCTAGCTTGTCGTTTGCACACTGGCTAATGAGGCTGTTAGAAGAGTAAGTTAACAACTTCCATTCAGACTCTAACACGCGGAGCTGAACCATTTCCTAACTCCAATATTTACATATACTTTATATAATTCTCAGTTAACTAATTGTTCATATCATCCCAGAGCATGAGCCATCAACCTTATATGTTATACTTTTGAATTGTTATATAGAGCTAAAACCCATATATTCCTAGGCCTAGTGTAGCACATATATGACTATATTAGGCCTAGGATGGTTAGGTTAAGTTTTCTTTACAATCAATACAAAAACTGTTATATGGTTTGTTCAGATTCAGTAGTAACAATGTCTACTTTCTAATTGTCCATTACGTCAATATATGCACGATGGTACACATCTTTTCTATAAATACTACCTAAACAGGAGAATGGGCTGAATTAAATTTAAGAAACTCTTACCAAGTTTTAGTAAAATCTTGCATATCCATATGCTTTAAGCTGAAAAAAATATCCATATTTTTTAGCTTAAAATATCTATATTTTTTAGCTTGAAATATCCCTATTTTTTAGCTTAAAATATCACATTTTTTTAGCTTAATATATCCATATGTTCAGAATTTATCTATACAAAAAAAAATCTATTTAAAGCCTAATCTATATTCCAACTGAAAACTGATTCAATTAAGCGTGGTACCGTTTGCTAAATTTAAGCTTCAAATTAATTTGAAATTGTTTTACGCAACTAAACTTAACCTTATGTTCACTCTAAATTAACTTGAGCCCTCGAAGCACCTCGTTGGGTTGGTGTGTCGTTAAGAGACCAAGGAGACCATAAATATGACGCAGGGATAGGCCATACTTCACGAGGCCTGCCACCTCCGACCAGGCAATTAGCTCTACATGTACAACTTCTGACAAATGAACTTGTTCTCCTGCTGGCTGGAGCCTTAATTGAGAGAGATACCGGGGCAGAGTACTGTGATTTATTGCGGGAGCTGGAAGCGTACTACCGCCGGCCAAGTACCCAAACCAATTACAAACGGGTACAAGGATGTTAAAATTGCGATACGTAAGCCTATTACTGGCTGAGTAGGCAAAATATATTACGATTGTGGTACGTAAGCCTATTACGGAATGAGGAATATAGTATTTTGCGATTGAGAAACGTAAGCATAATATTGTCTGAGTAGGCTAATATTTTATGATTGTGGTATGTAAGCCTATTAATGGAATGAGTTCAGCGAACTATGGTCACTATACAACATTTACGTTAAGGCGTCAATGAGCGTCAGGGGTCAAGGCTATGCAAAGTTGACACCACAGTATTAGTTCAAAAACTGATTATGATCAGGGGATAATACTTCTAGTAGCTCTCTCACCGAGAGTGTCTGGTACACGAGGGTAGAAATAGCCTAAGCAACTTCACGAGGGTAGAAATAGCCTAAACAACTTCTGTCCTTTTTGAGATGTATCTTATTGTCTAATACACGTACTTGAAGTGTCCGGTACCTGGTACCACGTGACCTGGAGGCTGTGTGGTTACAGGAACCAAGTTAAAGCATCGATATTTTGATTTCAAAATTGGAATCAAAATATTTTATTTTATTTTATACAGGGAACATAACTAACAGTTTTTGTTTTTTTATATACACATTATTTTCTCGCTGTTGAAGTAAAGGTTGGCGAGGCGATCAGTTTTAATCTGGCGTAAAAGTCAACGTTTATCATGACATATATGACACGAGACCTGCGCTGGAGGCTTTAGAGAGGAAACGTGCACACCTTTGTCATCCATTCCTGTTACATGGCTAAACTCCACTCACCCCCTCCTCCCTTACACACACACACACACACACACACACACACACACACACACACACACACACACACACACACACACACACAGTCTTAGAGTATGCCGCGCCATCATGGAGCCCCAACCTGAAAAAACACACAAGGAAACTGGAAAAGGTTCAGTAGTTAGCGAAGAGGATCGTCCCAGAATTACGAGGGATGAGATATGAAGAGCGTCTGAAGGAAGTGAACCTGACGATGCTAGAAAAAGTAGGGAGCGGGTAGATATGATAGCAACATATAAAATACCTAGGGGGGATTGACAAAGTGGAAATAGACGAAATGTTCACGCTTAATACCATCAGAACGAGGGGACATGGGTGGAAGCCGGAAACTCAGACGAGTCATAGAGATGTTATAAAATTTTATTTTAGTGCAAGAGTAGTGGGGGGAAGTCAAATGAACTAAATGAGCACTTTGTGGAAGCAAACTCTATTCATAATTTTAAAACTAGATATGATAGGGGGAAATAGGACCGAAGTCATTGCTATAAATAACCGATGGCTAGAAAGGCGGAATCCAAGAGCCAATGCCAGGCACAGAGACAGGCACTTGCCAGAGACAGGCACAAATAGGTGAGTACACAGAGGCGAGTACACCCAACAATAGGGTCATTTTCACAGCCCGGAGCGACACCAGTGGCGCCACGCGCGCAAAGTTGACACTTTGAGTCCCGTATTTTGTGAAATCGGTTAGTACAGTGAGTGATGCTTGTACTGTTAGTACTACGGCTATTACTACCACTACTTCTAC